ACAAGAGGCAGAAGAATGATCGGAGAAGGAGGAGGAGAGTAGTAGTAGTAGTAGTAGTAGTAGAAGAAGAAGAAGAAGAAGAAGAAGAAGAAGAAGATGACGAACGGAGCAGTTTTTTTCTTTTCTTTTCTTACTTGTTGTTTATCTCGCGAGCTATCGCTAACGAATGTAAAAATAAAGAAGAAAAAGAAGATAGTCGGAAGAGGAGGAGGAGGAGAGAAGAATAAGAAGAAGACAAAGGGGAGAACGACGACGAGAGATGATGAAGAAGAAGAAGAAGAATAAGATGAGAGGGGGAGGAGGAGGAGGAGTGAAGAAGTCGTGGAAGAAGAAAAGCAGAAGAAGTATAAGAAGAAGAAGAAGAAGAAGAAGAAGAAGAAGAAGAAGAAGAGAGGGGGAGGAGGAGGATGAGAGAAGAAGCAGAAGAATGAGTGGAGGAGGAGGAGGGAAGAAGAAGCAGAAGAATGAGTGGAGGAGGAGGAGGGAAGAAGAAGAAGAAGACCGGCACTCCATGTTGACGGGCGGCAGGGGATGTCGGCAGGCAGGAGCACCACGATCGACGAAGCTGGCGATGGGTGACACGACGACGACGGGCGAGTGAAGCTCCCAGGCGATGGCGACGAGGGCAGCTACTTCGACGAGGGGCAGCAGCACGAACGCAGGCGGCTGGAGCAGCTATCGAGGCCCCGTTTGGACAGCCAATGCAGCCGCCCCAGCCAGTCGCTAGTTCAAACGGGGCCTCCGTTTCCCTCCAAAAACGAACGACCCTCTGGCCGTCGATCATGGATGATCGACGGCCGGAGGGCCGTCCCAAATTCAAAAAAAAAAACAGGCCTCACAGGCCCTACGCGCCGTTTTCTCGGTGTGGTCGGACCCGGTAGGCCCCCGGGACCTCCCCCGGGTGGGCGCCGGTCGGCCGGGCGGCCCGGATCCGTACTCAGGTTATTCTCCTGTATTTCGGTACCCTTAACGGCAGAGCTCCGTCCCACCATGCCACACGTGATAGAAAGCTCAGCGTTGAGAAAACCCAACTTCGGCGGTGGGACTTCACTCCTGTTTTTTGAATCTTCCTAGCCTTTTTAGGCACTTTTCACATTGTGTTTAGGTGTGATGCTGTCTGTGTAATGTCCTACTAGGAGGATGTTATGCACAACAGGATGCAGTAAAAGAGCAAGGGAAAAACTTCAAAAAAGTGTACCTTCATTTCGTAAGGTGGAGGAAAAACTTTTTTTTTTTTTTAAATCGTTGTTTTGGGATCTGCTAGATTTGGAAAGGAACGGAAAGGAAAGCTAAAAAGGATGATGGTGTCCATGAGTGTGTATGCCAATTGATATCCCCACGTCAGCAATTTTAGTTTTTTCTTGAATTCTTCTTGTCTTTAAACTGCCGCCATCTCCGAGCCTCCTTTTGCCGACGGTGGAGTAGAACTGCACGCCAAACGTTGCTGAAGTGCCAGCACGGCGCTTTTTCTTATGTTTTGGCTGGCGCCGCCAGCCATTTATGTCCAGTGGTGCCCAACCTCTGAAGAATGAGGTATAGGTTATACTTTCGGTTTAGACTTTGCCTGTGAAAGGTAGTGGTGGTTTAAGATCAGTATGCAACAAAAAAAAAAGGAAAAAAAAAAAGAAGAGTATGCCGATTTGTGATCATCTTTTTTTTGTCTTGTTTTGTTTTGGTTTGGTTTTGTTTTGGTTTAGGGTTTGTTAACTTTGTTTGTTTTCTCTTCTTTGTCAATGCCCTGATCTTTGCAGGTGTCAGAGAATCAAGATGGAGTTTACCTTTGATTACTGTTACCTGGAAGATGAGCTTCAATGAGGGAAAGAGAGATTGATGACAAAGAGATGTTCGAGGGCAATAAAGAGAGGATTCCACGGAGAAGACGAGCTCACACGCACATGTGGCAAAGAAATTCCAAGAAAAGAGTGGAAATACGAACATCGACAAGAGTGCTGGTAGGCGCTTCTCTTACTGGGGCAGCTTGGTGGTATGTATTCTCGAGACGATGAAAGGGGCAACTCCTCATGACGAGGAGCTTGTCAGAGCCAAACGAAAGGAAGGTCTCTCTTCCCGAAGCTACGACGCACGTCTGTGAACAGGATGAGCATGGAGGCCTAACTCTCTTTGCCGTTCACAATGGTAATCGCATTTCAATATGGTTTAAAAAAAAAACCGTTAATGAATCGATTACCGCCCTTGGCCGCTTACCTGATGGCTCGTCTTTTTTTTTTTAATGCCACTCCAAGGTAATGGCATGGTGGCATATCGTAGTGATTCAGATGCACTCATTCTTTGCACCGACTTCCACGAAATGTTCTAAGTCAGTTCTTGACTTCGATCTCTTCAGAAAGATCGCCACGGATGACGGCGACGTGCCTCTGCTTAGATGTGGTCTGTGGATGCAGATCAACACGGATGTCTAGTCTTTGATCAAGGTGAGAATGAAGTTGATTTGGGGGGGGGGGGGGGGGGGGGGGGTGGGGGCTGTGGGTGGGGGGAAAGATTGGGGGAGGAGGGGGGGGGGGTAGAAGTGCGCACATGCCATGTGCTTCTGTTTGTTGTGGTGTGTCTCCAGGTGGTGGGTGGTGTAAATTCATTATTGTAAATTTCCATGGATACGAAAACAGTTCAAAACACATTGTTCTGGCTTTTGATTCTGCCATATTTTTTGTTCCAGCTTTTTTGGTTCTGCCATGTTTTTGGCATCGTGTTTGGCCTTCAATTCCTCCCCCCTTCTGCCCGAGATCTCCTTCCCCCTCCCCCCTGCCCGCCTCTCGCTCTCTCTGCAAAAGGAAATGCATTATTGTACATTTCAAATTTCGCTTGGCGCTGTAAATGGCAACAGAGGAGAGTTCTATTGACTGTTTCGCTGTGCTGTAATGTGGCTACTAAACATTTGCTTGATGTATATGGCAGCTGTAAACCACCACAGACCTGAACTGCCGCGCCTAGCAGCCCGGTACGGTGCCATTTTTTTGCAGTGTGTGAGGGGAAAACCACGGCTATTTGGTCACCCCTCTGGCAAAGAGGAAGCCCTCGCAATTGGTGGTTGTTTAAGAGATGCAATCATGAAAGTTAAGCATTCTTGTACGTATCGATCTTGTCATTCTGCCGTCCCATGGCGGTCTTTGTTTCTCTGCTTCTGTTTGCTGTTTTGACATCTCTGTAACTGCAAGCAGTTGGGGTACGTAGTATATGCGCCTATGCGACTGTTGTGGCAGTGTAACCTAGAATGTCAGTAGTGCTTTTGTGGGTATTTTCACACTCCCGCTTCTCCCTTTGGAAATTCAGTGCAAAATTGCGAACAGATCCAGGAGAGCAAGAATTGATTTCCTGTCCTCCTCCCTTTAGCCCCGACCCCCGGCCCCCACTTCTCCCCCTGAATGTTTCGGAGTCTATCTCGACTATGACATGGAGCCCGCGAGTAATAGCTCTGGATATCTAGCTGACAGGAAGAGCAAGTGGGGTTTAAGTTGCTACATTAATCTTCATCTGAACCAAATAAACAGCCAGGTACATTTACCACTTTGCAGCTTATGTCCTTGCACAGTCTTGGGAGCGCCAGCGAGCTAGCTTTCCCGGGTTGCTTGCCCGTGCCCCCCGGGCGCCTCGGGCATGCGTGGGGCAGAAACGGCCCAGGATTTAAATTCGAATCTGGGACTTTGCCTGCCGTCGATCGCTGCCGATCGACGGCCTAGATACGGAAACGAGTCTCTGAAATGGGGCCTACCGGACCCCAAAAATGGTACGTCTGCCGCCAATTTGTTTCTTGTTCTATGGGTCAAAGGGTGGCAGCGACATAATTGTTTTGGACGTCGTTTTGGTGTTGGCGACGACTCGGTGCTGAGGGGGCCCAGATGCCTGGCCGGGAGGGTCGCATTCCGGGCAACCTGGGGTGACCCGGGCTCCCAGTCGGGAAAGCTAGCCAGAGAGGTCTTTTATCCACGCCAATATTCTTTTGCTGCTGTAACTATGATCGGTGCTATGTTCATGCTATGAAAGCATGAACCTGGCTACCATCGCGACTCGGTTTATGCGTATCGATCATAAACATAGCAATGGTGGGCCCTACCCCTAATTGTTGAGTTTGACTTTGAGGAGCACTACAAGTTTAGTGACTGCACTCCTACCTGGGCAAGTTTGCTTCTTAGAAGAAAGAAACAAGGACAAATGTCGGAAGTGCTATTAACTTCTCGCGGGGGAACCTTCCAGGACGTATCTGGCCAAAATTATTTCTAAATTCCATTGAAGAAGTACTTGAGCCTGCTCTGACATATGGGTGTCCTAGAATGAAAGGCTCAGTGTACTGGACCCAAGGGGGGGTACCTGGGGGAGTGGAAAATTCAGAGCACCCGAACTTTGGAGGTTTTTAACTCTCATCTCCATGTACAACAAAATCCGAAAATTTTCAGGGGTGTAGGATAGCTTCTGTCGTATCAGGGAAAGAAATTAAGAAAAAAATATCAATAAGAATGCTTTCGCCCCCTAGGAAGAATTTGTTGCCCAGCCAGGGAGGCCTGGCCAGGCACCCGAGCTAAAGTAGTTTTCCTTTTTTTTTTTTTTGGGGGGGGGGGGGGGGGGGGGGGG